ATTCCTGCTAGTTTCATGCCCACAAAATGGGCTCCGTATAAAACAACATCTAACGCTGGAACATAATGGCATTGATCAGTTATTAGATAATAAAGGGCTTTTCTACAGAGACTTGGGTTTTAAATTTGAAATAAAACACACGTTTTGGATGAAAGTTCGGTATTTTTTTATTGATATATAATGTAGAAAGTCTACAATTTATGAATCAAAAAGAATATCGGAGAAATGTCCACTACGTCCACGTTTACAGACGTCGATCCTTTTGTCCAAATTTTTTATTCACATAGCCACATAAGAAATAGTCTAACGGCTTTAAATCACACAATCTAGGCGGCCAATTGACTGCAAAACTACACGAAATTATTTGAACGGGAAATTTCGTTCACAATAAATTCATTAGTTTCGAAATTTTGCGATATATAGTTTTCACATATCCACCATTTTCGTAGTGGATTTTAATTATTTTTATGCGATTTTCGATTGAAATTGAAGACATTATAATATATTGTAGACCTTGTACTTGACATATGTCAAAAAACAGACTGACAAAACTGTCACCACATACAAAATAGCCCCTATTAAAAAACAAAATCCCTGTTGAAAAGCCCTGTAGTAAATTAGAGAGTAACTTATGATTTTAATTGTTTTCCATACCAGCAGACACAGGTACGGCTGTGATCAGCCCCAACGTAATAAATAAGTCGTATGTCAGAGCAATACTGAAGTTACCAAGCATGTTCGCAACTGTCGAAGGATAATAGAAATATTCAGTATAATATTCGAAGCTCCTTTTGTTTATCAAATATACACATGGTAGACCGTTAGAGGTGGTACAACCGACAAGGCGGTAATTCTTGATGAAAAAATGAGTTGAAGATATAAAAAAAAATTGTTTTTATATAAATCCCTGTTTTTGAGAAAATTATCTATAAAAATTTGTACGGTATAAGGGTGTTAAAAAAGGTCAGAGGACTTCAGGAGCTTTATAGTATTTGACATGATAAGCAAGAAATATTTAGAAATAATTCTCGGTATACTATGTTTTGATTTTGTAGAATAAATGATTCTTAAGCATGTTTGTTCAAGATCGTATGACAACGGAAAATTGTGACTGATGTCAACAAAGTTTATTTCAGAAACGCACACCTGTGACATATGTCTTTAGTATTAATCTCAGCTAAGATCGAACATCTAAATATCTCCTTTGCTTTAAAGATATGAGAAATGTTTCAAACATAGTTTGTATGGTTTGAACAGTGGAGTAGTGTAAATTCTTGATGAATGCTCACAAAGAGTCTTTTTTGAAATCACTCACGTGATTAATGTACAGTAAAGGTTCGATGAGAGTTGGACAGAAAGTTCCTCGTGAAAGTTTATACTTCATCCCCACCACTGGGGTGGGGAGGCCGTGGATCCTGTCAAGCGCATAATTTATTGTCCCTACGTTTTTGTTGCTGAGGCTTGGGTTTCGGGCAAACAATAGGTGAATTTTTATTAATAGATTATGTATTGAAACGGAGGAACCGATGCTTATTTCATGACCGGGAGCCGCTTTAGGTTAAAGGAATCGGTTGGCTTCGTAACTTTGTAATTAAGAATACAGTACACTTCGAGTGGTAAAAGTGTACTGTTGTGGGTTTTACTTGAGCTAGGAATTCGGATATGATTCAAGGCTTGTAAATGAACTGAATTCTACGTTTATAGAATAAGTAATATAAATACAATATATTCTAAATTAGTCGTAGGACTTTACAAATGTTTGAGTTGTAAATGTCGCAGAAACTAATTTCTTCCCTGATGTTCACGCACCAGGAGAGAGTGCGGGGTCACGTTAAAGTAATGCCTAACAGTAAATTTACGTACTGTATGGTTATGAATGCTTGAAGAGAATTAACCCGATCTTGCTAATACGTCTCTCGTCTATGGAAGTCAGACTCGAAATCTGACCATCGAGGATACATTCGTGGCCTTTTATATACCCGAAAATCGGTCCAAAAGTTACGTATGCATCCTCTCATCGGAACTGTAATTCCTGGGAAATCTAGATCGTTGCATCATCACGGAAGCGACGGTCTTTATCTAAGCCTATACATTCCAGCCTCCAAGAAAGGGTTAAGGGTTAAAAAGAAAGCCTTCTTTATTGTTGGCGTATGTAACACATATTTGGCATTATTTTAATTAGAATAATTTCATCAATATCTTAAAATTTTCATTAACAAAGAACTAAACATACAAATTTCATCGTTGCATTAGTGTTGTCACAATGGTACGAGGCTTGGCCCGATATTTATGAGGTGCTGAAAACGTGTTCCTCTACGATGTATGTCCTGAAGTGGCCCCGAGTTCCGAACTTTCATGGAAGATTTACTGTACTCGTATGCGGTCTCGAGTTTCGAGGTCTTAGCAAGATTTTCTTGTATCGTAAATGGAACATACTTTTATGATAATTTTTTTCGAATTTCGTATGATGATTATTAAGTTGGTGAATTTGTTTTTTTTGTGCTTTGTAAGGATGTAGGAAGAAATTATAGGACTCTATTCGAAAAAATATTACTGACCTTGAAATCTTTTTATGAAATGACCCTGAAAAAAATTTGTCCTTCCGTTACATGTGCCCATCCAAATAGTGTAATATTGTCCTGAAAAGTTTTTTTCATAGAACGAGAAATAAGGAAGATAATTGGGTAATTTCCTTTAGGTAATCCACCTTGTACATGTCTGTCGAGCCCTATTTAATAGTGTATGTATGTATACAACGATAAAAAGATATATTTCTCGAGAACGAATCGGTATTTGTAAAAAGTTGTACCACCAATAACGGACCAGCATGTATGTTCGACTACTAGTGGGAAAAAATTTAAGGGGTGATTCTTTAAGGCAAAATAAGACGAAAATCAAGACTAACAAAATTGCGACAAATGTTTCGTTTTTTAGTTATAAGCGTTTAAAAATTGACCCAAATGATGGTAATCCGCACGCGCGAAGTGTCAGCGGACCACAGTTCGTAAGGGACGTACAGTCACTTTAAAGACTCACCGACGTGCAGGAAAAGTAGGTAGAACAGCTGTTTACTTACCCCGTAGAAGATGTCGATAACTTGTGACCGCGGTATTTGAGTCGAATCCACCTGTATTGCATTAACCCTAATTACTCGATAAAATTCGCAAGAAATGTAAATGTCTTACGAATATTATCGACTAGAGAGGGTTAATTCCCCCTCTAGTTGTCACGTATCACAATTGTCCTGTCCATGAGTATCTATAAAATTAATCCGAACATGCACGTACACCACAGAAGTCCGCGAAAAGTGTCCACACACAGTGAGCGATTGTCCCGACAGCGAAAAATGTTTACACACACTGCACGGTTGTTCCGACCGCGAAAAATGTTTATACACTGCGCGATTAATTACATCCGCGAGCGGTTCCTCCGTTGGGTTTAACACTCTACACATTATACGAAACTAACGCTCAAAATAATTAATTTATAACTATTTAACACTAATTTTTACCCTACACTAATTAATTTATAACAATTATTTATACTAATTTTTAACACGCTATAATTAATAAAACCTACAATATTTATTAAAACCTGCAAAAATTAATAAAACCTACAATATTTACTAAAGCCTGCAATAATTAATAAAATCTACAATATTTAATAAAACCTACAATAATTAATAAAATCTACAATAATTAATTTGCACTATTTATAACAACGACGTACGCGACACTACTAAATGATCACTACGTAATCGCTAAATAAACTAAACTTAGTTTTTCGAACATGAACTCTATTTGCTCGTAGAATGCAAAGGGCACCGTTCGGAAAGGACGACTGATATTATTGAACTGATCCTCCCTCGTTAGGATCGATGTGGCGTAATAGGTCGATCCCCACTCTTTCATGGTCAATACTTTTTGGGAAGGAAAAACTGCATGGGAAAGTGTCTTGGAGGTCGCGTTTCTTTTCGTATATTCTTAGAGCAATATCTGTATTTTTTTCTCATACACCATTCGGGGCCACTTGGCCACGATGCCGAGGGTGTGCGAGTCTGTTCAACAATATCAGTTGTCCTTTCCGAACGGAGCCCTTTGCATTCTTCGAGCAAATCCAGTTCATGTTCGGAAAACTAAGTTTTAGTTTATTTAGCGATTACGTAGTGATTATTTAGTAGCGTAGCGTACGTCATTGTTATAAATAGTACAAATTAATTATTGTAGGTTTTATTAAGTATTGTAGATTTTATTAAATATTGTAAGTTTTATTAATTATTGCAGGTTAAAAATTAGTATAAATAGTTATAAATTAATTATTGTGAGTGTTAGTTTTGTGTAACGTGTAGAGTGTTGTAAACGCAACGAAGGAACCGCTGCGAGTCTAATTAATCGCGTAGTGTGTGAATATTTTTCGCGGACGGGACAATCGTGCAGTGTGTGTGGACACTTTTCGCGGACTTTGTGTGGTATATGTGTATGTGTGGATTAATTTCATGGATACTCGTGGACAGGATAATTGCTGTACGTGACGACTAGAGGGGGCATTAACCCTCTGTACTCGATAATATTCGTAAGAAGATATTTAGAGTAATCGGAGTTAATGCCATACAAGTGGATTCGACTCAAATACCGCGGTCACAAGTTATCGACATCTTCTACGGGGTATTTAGACAGCTGTTCTACATACATTTCCTGCACGTCGTTGAGTCTTTAAAGTGGCTGGACGCCCCTTACAAACCGTGGTCCACTGACAGTCCGTGCGTGCGGATTGCCATCATTTGGGTCAATTTTTAAACGCTTATAACTAACAAACGAAACATTTGTCGTAATTTCGTTATTCTTGATTTTAGTCTTATTTTGCCTCAAAGAATCACCCCTTAAATTTTTTCCCTCTAGTAGTCGAACACCCTGCATAAGAAACTAGCATTAGATTACAGCAACTAACCTAAATGAAGAATGCTCGCTAAAAGTAATGCTGTCCATGGTAACCGTTCCCAGTGTGCACTCTCGGCTCCCGAAAAGTATAACGCCAAACAAATTGGCCACAACAATGCTACATTGCACAATCCAATAAGAGAAAAGAACAAAGACATTTGCCCAAATGTTGTTTCTCCTATAACTTTCTTAAACAGCACCTAAATTAACATTATATTAGCATGTTTACATCAATTAGCGTAGTTTGTTCTGAATTGTACAGTTGTCACCGCGAAAATGCAAGCAGACCGCCCTTGTGTATAAATGGTGTATAATCGTACATGTATAAGTCGTATATCGTATACAGAGTGTAACAAAAATATTGGGAGACCCAGAAATAGGAGACTCGTGAGGTGATTTGAAACAAGTTTTTCCTTAGCAAAAATGTTATCCGAGGCTTTGTTAACGAGATATTAACGAAAAACCCTGACCAATCACAGCGCGAGTTTACCGGCCGAGTTCCCGCGGTAACGTTCGCTACACGCTGCGATTGGTAGTCGACGTATTACGTATGTAAATAGCCGTGCATTTAGATACGCCGATTTCTTTTGTACTAAAATCTCTACAACAGTAAACATATAATCGCCTTGAATGCCAGTTTAATACTGGTTGAAAGGAGAGCAATTAAGCTGTGCCTCCGATCGGATTCATTGGTAAGAGCCGAACATTGAAATATGGCGCCGAATGGAGCCGCCGGCAGCGAAAATGCAATATTAAACAACACGAAGTGTGCTTTACTTGCCAATGGCCCTGATTAATAACAATATTTGACGTTAAATGTAGTAAAAAAAATGCACACTCACATTTAACTTCATTACATAACAAATATACTCGTAAACGCATAATTACCTTGTAGACTGCGGAACCAGCCGCTGCAGATGTTGCTAAAACAACACCTCCCAAGGTGGGACTTCCGGTTATTCCATCCATGTACGCTAAGAGTGCAATCCCAGTATTGCATAAAATTACTGCTACTATCTGTAATATATTTATTTATAATTAGTACATAACACGTCTTGTTACAATTTTCGTAATGTAAAATCGAACCAGTAAAATTTCATATGCGAATGGTAGGCAGCTGACCGCCACCCACCGACGATAATATGTGCCTCTCTCAGCAATTGCTCCCCCCAGACAAAAGGCTGTGGGGGCACTACCTTCCTACATTCGCCACTAGAGATCTACCGAGTTGACACCTTTCACGCAATTATCTGAAACCTTCCTCGTTTCTATATATACGATCTTAACCGACCATCGAATATCTCCGGGTCTAAGGCAGGGTCTGCTAGATAGCCTTACTGACGAGCCCACTAGCATGCCCAGGATGAAACGCTCCCTCTCCTTTCCTTTTCACGCCTTCAGCCAGCACCGTCGCCAAATTAGGGACCCCGAGTAGAACAAACGCAGCGGACAAAGGAGATCGGACCGACAACCAGAGGAACGGCCTACTACTACGCCAGGGACGAGCCTACCATATGGATGGATGAGATGACACCGCTATATTAATTTAAATTTGCCGAGACTACGTAATCCCTCTCCTAAAGTGGCCACCAGAAACGCACGGAGGAGCGCAGCGCCATGATTCATCCTTCCAATGGCCACTCCAGGACAGCAGCATATACGGCTCGATAAGGTTTGAAAGCATTGCACCTCGCCGCGACGATCTTATATATTTTCGGCTCGAGCAATGCACTCGCCATCCAAAGTTTCCTACAGCTGACGACAACGCTTCTATACCCGCTATAACACAAAGTCAGCGAATGACAATGCTTCTATACTGTATACCCGCTACGACACCAGATCTACAGGAACGCATTCACAGATCGATCGTCATCGAATTAATGTTCGACGTACACGTACACGTCCTGAGATGTGTGCCATTTTTAGCATACGAATACAACAGTCATCTCTCACCTAGCTTACTCGCCCGACCTCGTTCTTTGTGACTTTTTTATGTTTTCGAAAATAAAAATGCAACTCAAAGGAAAAAGATTTTATACGTAGAGGAGATCCAGACCCTGTCGCAATATGTGATAAACAACCTGACAAAAAATGATTTCCACTAGTGTTTCCGATCGCCAAAACTCTGCTCAGTCCGTTGTATAAATGCTGCAGAGGACTACGCGACGTTTGAAACTCCAAACAATCTAATGATGTTTCAAACTTCAAAACCGGCTTCACACGGCGCGGCGCACAGTATTTTAAAACAGCTGCCTGACCATTTAGTTGTTAGTCAACAACTAAAACCATTGTTATGTTATTGTTACCTCCTTTCTTTAAGTTACATTTCACTTGTTTTATAATAAGCTATACAATGGACTCTAACTATATTGTCATCATCGGGGCTGTAGGGGAGTAAAATGGCAATGAATTCAGAGCCCCCTCCATGCTAAGCTCCATCGTCATAGCCTCGGACTCAGCGCCTGGGTCGTGCTGGTGCGCCGGCGTACGCAACGTGGTGGGAAAGCGAATTTGTGTGCTCGAAAGTACGTGTGAAGGGGAAGTGCCTCGGATGGCAATATAGTTAGAGTCCACTGTAGTTGCTTTAGTATGTTGTGTTTCATTATACAACATTTTTGTTATTAAATTTTTACTTTTATAATAAACTTATTTGTTTGGTTCTACTATGCATTTTACACTTTTATAAGGTAAAAATTTCCATTTAAAGAACAGTCATCAATTAAATAATTACAACACATTTATTAAGCTATACAACTTGTAATGTTTTCGGTACATGTGACAAAAATAGAAAGACGTTGTTAGAAACCTGTTAAAACAATGTCAATGCAAATTCTTCTGTCGTCAATTATTTTCTCGTGTCATCTGCTTTACCGAAAAAATGTCAATCTTCTTGCTAACCACCACTGGATCGTACTTTCGCATATAAACTTTTGCCAGCTCGACTTTAGGAATAATTTGTCGTAAAATAAGTTATCATGCAAACTAATACTAACCCGTACACCAACAAACTGCTCGTGAAGGATGACCCATGATAATAAGTAAGCGCAGGATACGTTTGTTGCAAAGAGAGCCATTACATCGGTGGCTAATAATATCCTGAGCGAATAAATATACATATAATTGGTGACCACCCAGAGTCCACAAAAAAGACTGCATCTGATCAAAAAACGACCAATAGTAAAGCCTTTATCGCGGAATCCACGCAAATTTTCTGCGATTATTTCCGATGGAGTGTTACATTTGATTCTTGCCGCCTGACAGAGAAAATAAATAGGGAAGTAAAGTATTTCCCAGTTTGTACAAAACCACGTTGTGAAGAATGGCGCATTGTATGGAACCGACTGAAAAATATTAAAGAAGCATATGTCTATTTAATGACAGAACTTTATCATATAATTAGTTTATACTCTTAGACTATTTAATCTTAAAGTACACTGTTCAACAAATTTTAACTTTTTTTCGTTTCTTCAATTGTTAATAAGCGTTTCTGGTAGATCTGTATGAGCTAAATGCGAATCTGCAAACCGTTTCTTTCCAGCACGTCCAGTTTTTGAAAAAATCAAATTTGAAACGAAATTGCAAAGTTTCAACTTTGGAGCTGTGTTGTGCTTTTATAGTAATAGTTATTCAGTTTCTTTTTACACTAATTAATTCTCTGGACTCTTGCGAACAAAAGGATATAAATTCTTACTAGATTATAGACATCTAAATATGTTGAAATAATGTTCAAAGTGAAAAGCACACCGAAAATGCACCATTTTTTGCTGATATTCTTTAATTTATTTCAAAAACATAGTACAGAAAAACATATTTCCTAGTTATAGATATACATTCCTTTGACTGAAACTCCATTTAATTTCCAGCACATCGGTATATTCACTTCTTCGAGCATTCGTATTATGTACATAATGATAAGTACTATTTTTTTATTTGTACAAATATTAAATAAATTTAAAGCCTTGATAGTAAGTAGACATTTCCACGAAAATACTATGTGACCGGTGGTATTATACAACCGAGTAGCGGTTGATTCTACGTGAAAAAATAAGTTGAAAATATAGAATAACCTTTTTTTAATTCGGGACATCGTTTTCGAGAAAATCGAATTTGAACATTAATCTGAACTACATATTTTGTACAGAGAAATTAAAGATAAATGAAAGAAAACTGTGTGTTGCCCCCCCCCCCTGACTGATAACCTGGCTACGCCGATGCACAGCAGTATTTGCTTTTTACTCCAACGCAACTGTACTTCAGTGCAGTATTGTAAATTTAGTCATGAATATCTCGAAAAGTGTTGGGTATCTGAACCTATTGCTGGATATTTTCGTAAACAAAATAACGAAATCTACCAGTATTTAGAGTCTCAACTGGTCTTGTACTCTCATTGGGAGTATTGCCCTGTAATGTTAGTAAAGTATAAAAAAAATAAGAGTGAAAGAAACTTACGTGCTGATCATGAAGTTCTGTCACAGACGAGTTCGAAGATGATAAATAATTCGGACTGTCAAGTTTGTGAAAATATAAATATTTGATACAATGTGTTGCGCCGACCCAACTTGCTGTGACAAATATTGTTACACATACTCCAAAATATATCTGCAATCATAATAGTTTTAAATGTAAAAGGGGAAATAACATGGTGTCACGCATTCGTACACGATCATTCGACAAGTCACACATTCGTACACGATCATTCGACAAGTCATGCATTCGTACACGATCATTCGACAAGTCACGTTCGACAAGACTTGATGACAATACTCGCGATTCGTCAGCTCCACCGGTCGAGCAATTATACGGTTCATTCTCATTTAGAGAATTTTGAAACAGTTGCCTAATATTAAATTGGCGGGCAACAGTCGCAACTGAACGCGTACCACGCCGGTCGAGCCAGGGATTTACAACCCCAGGCGAATTCGAAAAAGAATCCATGCGGACGGACGCGACATCAAAGTTACCTTGTTACGTGAACATAATTCAAAGTGAGCAACGCGTGTTCAGTTTAACGACTCCTTATGTGTTCCACTTACAGTTTAATGCAAACGTGAAACTGAAAAATAAAGCAACTGTAAAACAAAGTGGTAACGAACGATTCTCTATAATTATGTGAATACTATGTAAGAATTATTGTGCGATAAGTGAAAATAAATTGAAAAACAGGATGAATCCAGAGGACTGGCCGTTAGCAAAATCAAAAAATGGAACGATTTGAAGGTCGGTGATGTATCTACTTGCAGGATGTAGCAGAAAGACCTCGTCCAACTTCTAGAATGTGCTGTACTGATGGTGACAATGAAAAATGTCATCTGAACATGAGTCCACCAATGCTTTGTTGCCAATTTATAGCCTTTCAAACTTATGCATCAAATAATACGTACACATGATAGAATCGATTTTTTCGTTATGCAAAGAATCGATTCCGTCGAGATCGATTCCTTATTATCGAAAAACATGATAGGGGTGTTTTTGAACATTTTACATTAAAAAAATTATGAGGTCAAACGGTTTTTTTCTACTATAGTGTGAATAATTATGACTATTTAAATGAAACAATGGAAATTAATTTAGCAAATTTTATTGTGATATTTAATATTATATAAATATGGAATATTTAACGTAAGATATTATTTACCAATTAATCAGTATCCCATATATTACTGTCCAATAACTTTAAAAAAATGAACTTATTTAGTCTTTTTCCAGACAATCTGTTCTTGCTTGACCATTCACAGTACAATATAAAATGTGTGATCTTTGTTTTTTTATAAGATACAAAATAGAAGCAGCGAAGCTTCTGGAATAACGCCGTACTTGGGTATTATTTTTGTGTTAACTTGAAGGAGAATGTTTGGCCATTTAATTCGTGAGGTGGCAGCACCTTATGGACCACTCATGAACTTGACCATAGAGTCACTTTAATCACCAGATTCATTGCTCAAGATGGTCAAGCAGTAACTTCACCAACCAATCACATCATTCTGGGCACTATTCTGCGCTTATGAGCATGCGCCCACGCACATCATACATGCACAACCAATCATCGTTGGACCACGTGGCAACATACGTGTTGCATCATTTCCGGCAATCTCCATCAATAACGACGCGCGGTATTACTTCTCGTTTCGTCCTGTGCTCTGCAAGCGCACGTATTCATCGACTCGAATAGTTTTATTTTCACCATTGTTCGTTTTTCGTTGTGATTCTCATCAATTAATAACTCATTGAATCAATCGATATTGTGTGTCAGTGTGATCAAGAAAATTGGTTGTTGTGCAGTTGATTTTCGGTGTGCAATCACCACGTGGCGTGGGCCATTGTGGAAAATTCTGTCTAATCATCATACACCGTGATCGCTCATTGTCACGCCCATTTCTGTAACATTCATTACCGCGGTCAATGCTCAGATACACCTTGTAAAGATCAAACTGTGACCGTGTGCTCATTATTTAACATTTCCAAGTGCTCAACTCATCCAGTCATTTATTGTATCATTTATTATTTTTGTGACCAACCAATTCATCCACGGGAGCTATTAGTTTGGCAACATCTCAAACAGAGAACAATAAACTAAATTAAAAAGAGTAAAAAAATAAGTATGTGAAAATCGATACACAATGTTTTCGGTTGAAACACAATCTTCGATTCCATCTCGATCTTAAAAATCGATTTAAAAAATCGTACATTATAGCTTACAAGGTCTGTCTTCAAAAGATCGATTTTTAATCGGCATCCTTACTTGATTTAAATATTTCCTGCAATGAAATCCTCTAAAAGGCTATAAGATGGCAATAAAGCGTTTGAGAGTATACGTTTATGTAACATTTTGTGATAATTACAATCAGTACGATACATTCCTAAACTTGGGTAGAGATCTTTTGGAATGTGTACTCTGCATTAATTCTTATCTTATTGGTGTATATTTTATTCACTCCTTAAATTAAATTTAGTTTTTAATCGAGTATACTCTTAGGATGATCCAATTCTACATTCAGGTTGTAAAGATATTATTACTATTATCTGGTGCTGTTTTTCGACGAAACATATGTCATAGAAGACTTATGAACCTTTTTTGCGGATTCAGCACAACAGGATGCGTAACAAGCTGTTAAAGAATTCGATCTTTGTTGATACGTAACAGAAGGTGCTGACATATGAGGTTGAATTTGTATTTGGCTCGCATTATGTCCTTGACTACCACCAGTTCCTTCAGCGGCGCCTCCGCTTGTCTCCAGAGGACGACAACCCGCAGCGGAATCACCACACCCACCGGTAACACTACATCCTTGTTGCTGTTCACGTCCTAAATAATGAAATAATGCATTTTAATCAATTCAAATGTATAATTAATTTTATCATATTAGAGAAATAAAAACATTGTTATCTATGTCGTAGAATTATTTTAAGGCACACTTGCTTTCGATCGACAAAAATTATATGCAGTAATCAAAATCTGCAGTTCCCAATAACGAATACTGAAAAACAACACATAAGGCATTATCGAAGAAATTCGAATACACAACCCTGTTCAAAAAGTTCCTTTACAAAAACTGGTAAAACGTTATATCAATTTTTGTTGTTGACCTGTTAAGTTACACACCTGCTTTTGACACCTATGTTGAATAGTTTGTCTTACAGCGGATTTTTATGTCAAACAAAATTTGAAGGTGCGAGGATTTTCATCATATCTAATTTTATCAAGCAAAAAGTTTGCACTCAATTTTGTATCAAAAATGAAATTAAACATTCTAAAGCTTCGTCTACACTATACAGGATGACTCAAAAATGTCTCTCTTCCGGGAATTGAGGGGTTGTTGGGATGATTTCAAACCTCTTTTTCCTTAGCGAAAATGTGTGTACTTGCGGCTTTGTTAACGAGATATTAACGAAAAACCCGGAACAATCAGAGCGCGAGGTTGCCGGCCAAGTTCCCGCGCTAGCGGTGGCTACGCGCTACGCTTGTACTATGAAGCTCCGAACATGCAAGTCGACATGCATCCCAGGAAACCGTGTATAATAGCAAATAAAAAAAACGTAACAAATCGAACTGTTTATCATCTTTCGTTTGTCATTTAAAGTGATGAATGAATGAAACATAAATGTAAGATAATCATGTGTAACGTAAAAAGACGAATACACAATTATTTTTTTAAACAGAATCTTTAAGGGACCGAAGAAAAATGTAAAAAAGTCATGTGTAGCTTGCGTTAAATTAAAAAAATAATAATCAACTGTAAATTGAATAGAACTCACCCTTTCCGAAATTCACCTGTAGCTTGCAGACCTGTGTCAGTAGGTCACTGTACCGATCTTGGTCATCGACGACCGAAACGGTTTATGGCGGGGTAATGCCCAGTCCGCAGGTGATCGCAGGTATACCACATCAGCTGAAGTTAAGGGTTGTAACGTCAAGAGCGTCCGGGTTATTCTGCCGAATACGTTTTCACTTCACTGCACGACCACGAACACTGATCAGCCGACACAATCACTTAATGTATTTTTAATCGAACGTGTTGTTTCTACGTTAGGAAAATTCGTGGCCCCGGAAAAGGCCGATTGTTTTCAATTTATCAGATGTTTTACGTAGCCAAACACTTGCACAGCAGCAGCATATCCGTTATTCTGTGCGTACCATCAGAATATTGCGTAATACTCCCGTGATTTCAACGTTTCTGTCGCTCGATTGCTAACCGACTGACAAAATTTTTCCGAAAGGGCTTCCTCTACCCCCAAATAGTTTCCCATGGTTACATTGTGAGTTCACTCCCACCGCGACAACAAGATTTAGGTAAAAAGAAACCAGAGTTCTAGGAAAACACGTGCTTTGCAGAAGTGCAACGAACGAACCGTCGTGCAGTTTTATCGAAGCGCAGGCTCCGTTAATTTACTGCCAGGATATACATTGCTTCGAGATAGAAAGCAAAAACTACGTTTTCCTCGAGGAGCAGGAAAAAAAATTTCACGAATACATGCTGAGTTGACGCTGCTTAGCCTTGTCCGAGCACCTTAGCAGAGGTCACGTTAGAGAGAAAAAATTCTGTCAGTCGGTTAGCAATCGGGCGACAGAGATGTTCAGTACACGGGAGTATTACGCAATGTTCTAGGTGGTACGTACAGAATAACGGATATGCGGCTGCTGATGTGCAAGTGTTAACGTTAGCTGGAGAGGTTAACGAAATTATCGACACCGGTCGTGAGATAAACATAAAACGTACTTTAATATATCAAAGCGAAACGGTACAAAAGACGCGACATTGTGTGTGTACGCGTCGCGTAACAGAGAGAAGACGTATAGTGGTGGCGCTCCGCGCGCACCCCAGCGGATGCAAGGATGAATCTTTCCCGGAAGGGCTCAGATTGTGAATTCTATCACTCTCCCTCAAGTTGAGCCCTCAGATGATTAATCCTTGAAAGACCAAGCCCGGCGCAGCACCTCATGTGACTCGGTCCAGGCAAGCCCTTCGTAAGAGCATCCGCAATCATTTGCTCCGAAGGTAAGTAGGTCAACTTGACGGGATGACTCTTCAACACCTGGCGCACGAAGTGATGCATCACATCAATGTGCTTGGATCTCGAATGAAACATCGGGTTCTCGGCCAGTTTCCCAGCTCCCTGATTGTCATTGAAGATGACTGTATCAATGAGTTTCGTGCAACCCAGATCACGCAGGAAACCGATGAGGTGTATAGCCTCCTTGGTAGCATCAGCGATGGCCATATATTCAGCTTCGGTCGACGAGAGCGCGACAGTACGCTGCTTCCGGAATTCCCAGGAAACGGCGGCCCCGCTGAGGATGAACGCGGACCCCGTATATGATCGCCGGTCAACGACGCAACTAGCCCAGTCGGCGTCGACATATCCCCTCAGTGACTCCCCGTCTCTGGTGAATCTGAGTCCGAAGTCCGTGGTGCCCCTGAGATATCGGAGCACGTGCTTCGCCGCCACCCAGTGCTCTCGTTTGGGATTGCTGTTAAATTGACTCAGTGCGCAGACCGAGTGAGCGATGCAGCCATTGCAGCATACATAAGCGCCCCAATCAACTCCTTGAAGGGAAATTTCTCCTCGGCGCTATCGCCATCGGAATCCAGGGACAGCTTCACGCCCGGAGACAATGGAGTACTGACGAGTCTGCACTGGTCCATTCCAAATCTCGATAGCACGTCCCTGACATAACCCGCCTGAGACAGGACTATACTCTCCCCGTCCCGAAGAATCTCCATGCCCAAGCAGTATCGGGCCTCACCAAGGTCTTTGACCTTGAATGCAGAGGACAGCCCTCGCTTGATTAGACTCTCCCTCTTTCGGTCGCCTGAAACAATCAAAATGTCGTCGACATACGCGAGAAGAAAGGTTAATTTGTTTGCGTCGACATAAACGCAAGAGTCTGCGGTTCGTTGGAGTAAGACCGACGCCTCGCAAAACGACGAGCTCGGCATGCCACTGGCCGCCCGCCTGCCGTAAGCCGTACAGGGCCTTGCTCAGCCTGCATACCTTCGCCCCTCCGTCCATCTTCCCCAGCATTTTACGGGCTCGCTCTGCAAGATCCGGGTCGACATCGTCCGAAGTCATTCTCTGAATCATCTCGGCCAGCAACTCGGGCTGCTCCATGAAAACCTCGGTATCCATCCTCCCGTTCAAGTAAGCAGTCTCAATGTCCAGTTGCGATATGCGCAAACCGAACTTGGCGGCCAATGCCACCAACAACCTCAGGGATCCAAGACGGGCGACTGGAGCAAAAGCCTCGAAGAAGTCGACACCGGGTCGCTGCGAAAACCCCTTTGCCACGACGCGCGCCTTTCTTCGCTGCAGGTGTCCATCGGGCCCGTATTTGTTTCGGAGCACTGTACGACACCCAACGATTCTCCCGTTCGTCGGTCTGTCCACGAGGTCGAAAGTATGATTTAAGATGAGACTTTTGATCTCAGAGTAGATGGCGTCCTTCCACTCGTCTTTGTCTGGCCCGGAGATGGACTGCCGAAAAGGAATTTCAGAGACATTCATCGCCAGCCCTGCACTTTCCCAGCCCGAAGGTTCTTCGTCGCTCGATTTTTCGCTCGACTCGCTGCTCTCCGGGTGGACGCTCTCCTCCGGAACGTCTCTTGCTGCGATAATGTTGAATTGTTTGGCAGGACGCCCCCGCCTACCGGTCCTGACTTTACGTGGTCTGCCTGGTCCTCGTCTACCCTGGTCACCTGTCTCCTGTGGATTTCCCACGGACGCACACGGTGACACGATATTCGGAGCGGATCTAACGTCATCTTGGGCAGGGCCGCAAACGAACTCCCGTTCACGCGTCGTCGTGGGGTTCTCTTGAACGGCTCCAGGCGGAAAGTTTTCTGAAAATCGCACGTCGCGCGTCACGCGGACCCTTCCGTCGAGTGGGGTCCAAATTCGGTACGCCTTCGCGTTGGTGGAGTACCCGACGAATACGCCCTCAATGCTCCGTGCTTGTAGCTTGTCCTTGCCGGGAGACTTGTCCAGGCAGTGCACTTTAACGCCGAATTTTTGAAGATGAGTGACATCGGGGCGTTTTCCGATCCACAACTCATACGGTGTCCTGGTATCCGCAACGACCGCTTCGCCCCAGAACGATCGCAATAATCCGGATTCAGCGAGCATGGATCGTGCTATTTCGATGATGGTCCGGTTTTTACGGTCCGCTATGCCGTTTTGCTGGGGAGTGTAAGGTGCGGTCAACCGGCGTCGTATCCCTGATTCCTTCAGGATGCGATCCAATGCGGCATTGCAGAACTCCTTCCCGTTGTCGGACTGAAGCGCTTTAATTTTGGCCCCGGTTTGCGTTTCCACTAGATTTTTGTACTCTACGAACCTGGATGTGACTTCTGATTTCTCTCGAAGGAGGTAAATCTCCGTCCAGCGGCTATAGTCGTCCGTGAATGTCAGCATGTATCGGGCACCTCCCTGAGTTCGCGTTCGCATCGGGCCGCAGACGTCCGTGTGCACGACTTCCAACAACGAGGCTAACCGTTTTCCGCCCTTCGGAAACGGAACAGTCGTGAGAAACGGTACAAAAGACGCGACATTGTGTGTGTACGCGTCGCGTAACAGAGAGAAAACGTATAGTGGTGGCGCTCCGCGCGCACCCCAGCGGATGCAAGGATGAATCTTTCCCGGAAGGGCTCAGATTGTGAATTCTATCAACCAATGTTTGGCTACGTAAAACATCTGGTAAATTGAAAATAATCGGCCCTTTCCGGAGCCACGAATTTTCCTAACGTAGGAACAACACGTTGGATTAAAAATACATTAAGTGATTGTGTCGGGTGATCAGTGTTAGTGGTC